AGAACTGTGGCTGGTGACTGACTTGTCGACAACCCGAGTGAAAGTTATCTTTAGAATCAAGTGTTTGAAACTGATTGCGCAGTTAAGCCTTGATGGTATTGGCTGTAAGACTCGTATAAAGTTTGTCAACAGTCATTGGTCGGTTTTAGTAAGTTTCGATTCGTCTGTTATTAGTTAAAGTAGGTCATTCCGTCCACTAAATGAAGTGACCACTGATCTGAACTTCGACGGGCGTTCTAACGAACAGTAAGCTTTGTCCTAACAGTTACTTGACATAGTACCTGGTATAGTTGTTGTGTTCTTTGTATGGCTCACAGGTTTGCGTTAATGATTTCCTTGTAGCATTACGTTCGAGTGGTGTTTCCTGTATGGATGCTCAACTGTGTCAGTCCATCTGAACACGGTGTAGCACAGTACTGTGTACCAGCGGTTTTGTATGTCGCCCAAGACGAGTGGACTACCCATGGTAATTTACTGAATCAACGGAGTTTCTCTTTTGTATACGAGATGGTTACAACCATGCACAAGAGCCATTTTCGATAAATACACGGAGAAGGACTCCAAGAGTTTCCAATTCATATTTGCAATGTATTTCTCTGATCAAAAAATAACTCAAGCCTTTTGATCAGCCATGGTAGTACTCAGGCTCCTGGCTTAGAAAGATATGGAGGGAGCTTGAGTACGAGTGCTAGTTCCCTAGTTAGCTGCTTGCTGTTTAGTCACAGATAAAGTTTGATCAGCAACCTTTATCGCAGGTTCCAACGAGTGTGTGTGTTAGACGGTGACGAAGAGACGTCACAGAAGATCACCTAGACCCAGATATTACTTGAAAGAGCTGCGCCACGGACGGTGCACCTTGTGTTTGGAATCATGTCTTGGCCGTTCTCGATGTTAAGCATTTTTGTGCCTTTTTGGTTTACTTTTAACCGTTTAATGAAGTCTTGTTCTTACCAGATTAAACTATTAATTTAAGAGCTCCGTCATTTTAAACTCGTTTTTCGTGTCCTAAAATTGACTAAATATACCATGGCTTCGCCCTAAAGCCGCGAAAGCCAAATCCTCGTTCCATCAGTAGTAGATCATTTTCGTAAAGCTACGGTTGCAAATTAACTTGTGTTAATTATGTGCCATTTGCAGATTCGTCTCAGAAGCTGGATTGTAGCTACAGTGTGAGCCAATGTCTGAAAGCCTCTGACATATTAACACCTAACTACATACAGTTCCTGACGAGCCAGGCCAGAAGCTAAAACTCAGTGACTAGAAGCTGTCTCAAAACCCTTGACGTCTCACGAGACTTAACAACGTTTGTTTCGTTACCAATCAAACTAAAACACCTAATACACATATCAGTCTTGAACGGTGAAGCCCTGAATACCCTAATATTGCCTTGGAGGGAGTGATTTTATTCTTTATAGGGTGTGTGTTTTCTATGCATTGATAGAATCATTTGTTTTTGGAAGTGTCCCCTTTTGGGAAACAGTTCAGGGTAAGAAATCTTAGAAAACGGCAATGGCTGGTATTCAGCACCAACTACCTTGCTTCATTCAAGAGACGAAATTGAACACATGGGATATACCTTTTCGATCAATGAATGCTATGAAAACTCTTCCTTTCCATTCTTTGCATACCAGCTTGAATGGTACTAGTAGTTAAAGTATATATTGAAGGGATTCCGATGTGTAATTAAGGATAGGCAGCGACATTTATACTGTGCATATGGGCAGTTTATGGCCTGTGGCGCAATTTTCAACCAGTGTGGCTTTGGTTTACATAGTGTGCGGTGTGCCGGGTTTGCAAGTGGTGTGTCACTATGTCTGCCTTCGTTTCGCCTACCTCTCTCTCCATGAGAAACAATTTAAAACGTTTATGTTGATAGTCAGAATGAAATGATCAAAATCATTATGGCTGCGATCTCCATTGAGTAAGTTATTGCGTTCGACGAAGTGGAACGCAAACCTAATTGTGACCTGTGGCTTTTCAGAGTTGGTTGGCCTGTGCACGGTTATAGGCGGAAAACCCCACATTCCTGTAAGGACACCAAAATGGCCACCCCGCTTGATTTTTGCAGGGGCATGTCA